GCATTTTGGTGTAGTAAGTGGAGACTGAATCTCCTCATTGAGTCATGACAAAAATCTTTTTCCGCAACTGAAAAATGAGAGATGGGTTGTATTGACCATACTTCTCTACTAGGTTGTCCAAGAGTTGTTTGGCTGAGGGAGCAAATACAAATGCATCATGGAAATCTGGTGCAATTGAATTTTTGATTCAGGCTCTAACCATTGTATCAACTTCGATCCAAGCTTCTTAAGTCGGATCATCAATTGAAGGCATACGTAGCTAATATATGATGAAGCTCAGCTTACCTCTTTCCATGAGGGAGGTTCGAACCGTATGAGACCGTGTGACGAAGTTGTTGCCATTAAGAGAAATGGTAGATATAGTAAAACTTGAGTGATCACCATTTTGTAGCATCAAATCTTTAGGAAGCATAGGAACAACTAGTTTTGAGCATCAGCCATGGGAAATCAATGGACAATAGAGACCAAATTTGATACCATGATGAACATAAAGAATGAAAATAACCAGAACAGAGAGAAATTGAAAAGGTATTTTTAGATTTCTTCGATTGAGTGATATTTGATTTCTTGAGGACTTACAAATATATATATATATATAGAGAGAGAGAGAGCTAATCCATGGTATTCTAAAAGAGAATCTCTCGTACAACAAAATTGTAACTAACTAACTAATATACACATCAACCTTGTGGTCCAAGCTACTTCATCAAAATCAAAATAAAGTTCACTCAAAAGAATGCTAACACGTTAGAAACGATTAAAGATGAGTTAATATTGAGAGAAGAACAAACAAATTAAAAAACAAGATCACAATTGGACAAGAAAAATTGAAGATACATATACGTTTTATTTAATGAGGAGTAGCATTTGTATAGATAAAATTCAAGTATCATAATATATATATTGTTTAGAATCCATTGGCCTCAAACTTCAATATTTGGCTATAAAATTCTTGTTGGAGAGAATTTCAATAAGCTTTTGGATGTCTCTATACAAATCTTTAATGGTATGCGATAAATTTAAAGAAATATATGATAAATTAATCGAATAGCAGACGATACAAATAAATTGTAATTGATTTATGATCAAATTACATTATTTTCTATAAACAAAAATATACAAGAAACAGACAAGTAAAAATAAAGGATAATTGAATGGGTGAAATGACTCCCTCATTCACTCGGTTGTTAGTCCATTTTATCTAAGTAAAATTTTTCTTCAATGTTGCATTAATCTTATGTAACATTTGCATATAATACTTTCAAGGTAAATTTATTTTCTCCTCTTTTTCAATATCATTATGATCATGTTAATACAATTGATTCTAACATTATATTCCAAATGTCAAGCATCTTAAATCATCGATTGGTCGCCGAGGGTGTGTAGCTCAGGCGGTTGAATCCTTCCTTGACATGGTTGAAGTTGGGGATTCGATCCCGATTGTGTATGTGAATGTGTGCGTATGTGGCTAAAAGAAAAAGTCATCGATGGCATTGGATTATTTCCTTATTCTTGCATTCTTATCAACTTGTCTTACAAATTGAATGTCTAGATGGTATTAACTTTAGTGCAAATAGTACTCTGCTATGTAAAATAAGAATTGTGTGCTATCTTTTTATTTTTTAACATGGTATTCAAGAAAAATATATCTGATGCTCTATAAAAATATATTTGGTACTATATAAAAATGTATTTTGTACTTTATAGAAGTATGTCTCCAATAATATCAATTTAAGAGTCTATAAAACATCGATAAGAATCTAAAAATTTGACAATTAACTGATAGTTTTTATCTGTTAGATTCAATTGACTGTTAGTTGTTTGTTTAGCTGGTTTGACTAGCTGATTCAATTAGTAATTTGTATTAAAATATTTGGTAAAATAACTTTTTGATATTAGTTGTTTATATGTAAAATAACAATAGATGATATTTATATTTTATTTTTAAACATTCAATTGTGTTATTTTAAGTTTAATTTTTTTATTAGTTATTTAAAATTGAGAAAGTGTTATAACATATTTATTTTATTATTTTTAGATTAAAAAAATAATATATTTTTATTGAAAAATATTAATATTTTCTCTCCGTTCTTCCAACACTATTTTCAATTGCGATTCTTCAAAAATAATAATAAACAATACAAAATTCTTTTATAAAAGTCAAAAAATAAAAACAATAATCAAATACTAGTTACAAAAGTTAAAACAAAAAAATTCAAATATTTAACTCAAAATAATATATATTATATTTTTGATACAATTTGCATAAAAAAATCAATTTGTTTAAAAACTCTAGGTGAACAAAGCTTTTTTATTTATTTATTTAAATGGTACAAAATATGAAATAATAAAATTTTTCGTACGTATATTTATTATACTCATAATTATATTTATCTTTAAATAAATTTATTCTATTTTTATTTATTTATTTAATATGAAATTATATAAAAATAAATTAATAACATAGTGTTTTTTTTATTTTGATTTAATTTTAATAAATTTTAATATTTTACAAATAAAATAATATTATATATAAAAATTAATTATTTGAAATTTATAAAAATAAATTTATAATTTAGTTTTATTTGGTAGATTTTCTAGTATCTATTTTTCATTTATATATTATATTAACATTAATTTTATATTTATAATATCACATAAAATTTATACTATTCAAAATTTCAATTTAAAATTCAAATCTTCAAACAAACATAAACTAAAGCTACTCCAGTACAAAATATATTTATATGTATAAAATAAATTATAATTTTTTAAAGATAAATAAAAAATAAAGAAAATAAAAGCGGATTTTTTTTTTAAAAAAAAAATCTCAATAAGCTTGTTGTTATTTATATCCCGAATTATTGAATTTAATACAAAATTACAAATGGAACCAAATAATTATAAAACTAAAACAATATTAATATCGAAACGAATGAAATTAACACATATTAATCAAATGACATTATGAAAATCAAATCAAACAAACAAACCCTAAGCAAACAAATAGATAGGGTTCAGATGACTTCCTGTTCTTGACTTGATTTTGCAAGCCTTTTCTGAGATCTAATTGTGTTCGAGTTCCTTGACGAGGACGATCGCTGACAAAGTGATGATGGCCCAAGATAATCACGATTGCAAGGTAGAAGTTGAGATGTTACTCTAAACTTCGACACCCACTGAATTAACCATCCGAAGACTTCTACTCTCACAAAACTTCCAAACTAATATCTATATATATCTATATTTTTTGAAACTTCCCCCAAAAACTAACTCCACAACAAACCCTTAACTAAATGGATTATTAAATTGGTTTTAGGTTTAAGGATTGGGTTAGGATTTTGATATAAGGGTTGGGCCGAGTTCGATGGACCGGGCTAAGGAGTGGACCGACTATTGTATTTTTTCAAGGAACTCGTTAGTGAGGGTCCCGTAAGGATGTCTGGTGGTATAAAGATTGACTCGTAGTCGTGAGGTTATGGATGTCTGTCGCACATTGTTCACCATAACTTGCTTTATTGGGCCTACATTCAAGTCGTATCTGTCACCCATAGTTCACTTCGTGTTACTTGTCTTGTATGGTTTTAGTTTACAGGCTGCGAGTTTATTCGTTATTAGAAAAATAAAGAAAAAGGAGAAATAAAGGAACTCGTTGGTTAGACAACTATCAAAATTCTTAACAAAGCTATATAAAAAAATTAATTTATTAAAACTTTAAATTAACTATTTGATTGGTTAAATACAAAAAAAAAAAAAAAATTCAATAAACTGTTAAAAAATTATTATTATCACAAGAATATCAAACAATTATCGAAAAATAAATTTCGATATCAAAGTTATTTATGGAAATAAATTCGATAATCACGACAATTTTATCGAAATAAATTCAATAATCAATTTATCGAAATAAATTTGATAATCACAATAATTTTATCGAAATAAATTCGATAATCAAGTCGAGTCGAGGTAGAACCTCTCTCCGTAAAAACGAATACACCACGGTAGTGCCTCCGGTTTATGGCGTAACGTTCTCAAAGATAAAACGACGTCGGTCTCCGAATTAGATGACACCCCAATTTTCAGAGCTCCGATGAACTAAAATGAGAGACTTAAGCTATGTCGGGGGTTAAGGCAAGTAGAAATTCCGAAACTCGCCGAAAATTTATTGGGGATGAGAGGATTAGACAGAAAAGAAGTTTCACTTCCTAGTTTTGGTGTGGTGTATAATGAAATGAGTGTGAGGAGGCCTTTTATAACACCTCCACCCTTGAAATTTTCATGTGGAACCGAAATCGTCGGTGTTTAATGACTTGTAATCGTCGGCCATAATTTCGGTAACGTCCAACAATAAACATCATACTTAATTTCGGCCATAAAAATCGTTTTAATTTTGGTCATAAGCACCAACTTTAGTTTCGGTCATAAATATATTATTTAAATTTTAAATTTCAAATAATTATTTATCATATATCTATGTAAGTATCTGGTCCGAATAGGTGGTACGAACACCTGTAGCTTACCGGCATATACCCACATGCATCTTTAACACTATTAAATTCTATCTATTAAATAATTAACCGATTTTCCAACATAAACTAAAAATTGTTAAAATAGTTTTTTGCTAAATACTTTCAAATATAATCAAATAGTTAAAAATTATTCAATAAATTAAAAATATTTAAAAAAATTCTTGCCCAAATATTTTCAAATATACTATCTGGACTACTGATAAATGCAATTTGAACAATTAGCACGACTTTTAACCGTCGCCTATTAAAATAAACGCTATCCTCTATCCTCGAGTATTCGACCGTTAAAAGGCGACTCAAAACGGGCCATTCTGAAGCGGATGGGTCAGCCCGCGGGCAAAATCCAATTGTCATTCTTAACCCTCCAGACCCAGATCCGTCTTCTCTTTTCTTCTACGGTCTTCGCGATACAGGCAGCCTCGTCCTCGTCATATCGCTTTCTTCTTTAGTTTCGTTGGAAGCTTTGTAAGCTGAATTATTACACTCTTGATTCATTTTCTGTTGTATTTTTAATGCGAACTGCTATAGTAATTAGGGTTTGAGTTGTATGATATTAGTTCTGCTGCTTTTAGATATATTCAAGGGATTAGATTGGGGTTTTTAGTTCAGTTTTTGTTGGCTCTGTCCATTCTTTTATGAATCGGTGGTTGACAGACATTTGTTGCTTTTATTGGAATTGCTTTAGAACATTGATTGAATAGGTTTCTGGAGTGGAGAACGATCATCCAGCCATAGAAGAAGTTCGCCGAAGAAGCTGAGAATTGAACCTCTTAAACCTTACAACCAATCCACAGAGGATCAAAAATCACCACCCGTAACCTATCAATGGACCCAAACATGGCCTTGGATTTGGTGAAGCAGGGCGCTACCCTTCTTCTTCTCGATGTTCCTCAATACACTCTCATTGGTATAGATACCCAGGTGGGTGTTTGTATGCGAAACTTTCTCTTGGAGAATGGGTTTTACCCGGCCGGTTATGGATGTTTTGATGTGGTGGACATGGTGATTTTTGCAGATGTTCTCATCGGGTCCTAACTTTAATGGTGTGAAGATGATTCCGCCTGGAGTACACTTTGTCTACTACAGCTCGTCTGATAAGTTAGGTCCTTTCCATCACCGATTAATTAATCTACGCCTTTATTGATTTATTTATTATAGTAAATTGCTGTCACAGATTCAGCTGTTAGTTATTTTGGTGTTGGTGCGCCACAGTTGCATTTCCTGTGGATGATTTGATTTTAGTGTATGTGTTTTTACGCAGGGGAGGCAGCCAGTTTTCTGCCATTGTTGGTTTCTTCATTGATGCGAGCCCTTCACAGGTTTTATGCAGAAGTCTGTTTTTCAGTTATTTTGATCTTGATGCTACACATGCCTGTATTTTTCAGCTGTTAAGCTTTTCTATTATGTGCTTTGAATCATATATATATACATACACACACACATGTATTCTTGTACATGAAAAATCAATCATGTTTTCTCAATGCAGGCCTTATCATTGTTCCAGAATTTTCATTCATACTTTTAAAAAACTAGTGTGTAGAAATGCTTGCTAAAAAGTGATTTGATTTGGTCGAATGGTTTAACTAATTAAATTTTCTATCCAAAGATGAATTGAAAGAGATTTGTGTGTTTTGACCTAATACTTATTGGCTGTATTGTTTTAAATTACCATCCATTCCTTTCTTTTTTGATCTTTTTTTAGATGAAAATAGTTATTGTATGAAATATTTTAATTATGATAGCCGGTGGATTGTCATGTTGTGAAGCCAAGTTGAAGCCTGTAAGAGTAATGGACATCCAAGCTCGATACTTCTTTTTTGGGCAGTCCGAATTGATTTTGGGCCGCAGGCTCATTATGGTTTTACATTAATGTCTATATATACTCGTTTTACTCTCTCATTATATGCTTGTGTTTATCTTGATTTCACTTAATTTCGTTTAATAGGTGAGATGTATTTAGAGGAAAAATGAGAAAATGAATAGGAATAAAAATACACAATTGAACAAACCTGATTATGTATGTTACGTTCCAGTTTTATGTTATAGAACTTGTCAAGATGGCATTGCCACTGCATAGTTTGCTGAGTGCGCTGTGCATTACAGTTATTGTATGCACATTGTATGGCGATATGTTTAGGCCTGCACCTGGCTTCTAGAGGATGACTACCATCTGACTGAATTTTTGTCTTTATACATAAGTCCATTATTTTGGTTTTTATTGCATTAACGTATAAGTCCGGCTGTCTATTTTTATTCCTTGTTATCTTTTCATTTTTGAACCTATTTCCATGCTTCAATGAGACAATAGGATATTCATAATCTTATATATTACATTAGTACTATTATAGGTGATTGTTCGAAAATGGGAGCAAAAGGAAGAGAGGTTTGTCAAGTTGTCAGAAGAGGAGGTGAGTTAGTTTGGTGATGTTTATTGGGTTTGTTCTTATGAATTTCCATTTACCTTGAAGCCTCAAATGTTTTTGAGTACTTCCTGAAGTTGAAATAATTTGTACTGCAGAGCTCTACTTTCAGGTTTTGTAAGCCTATTATCCTCATGTTGAACATGTGAGTGAAAATGAGGATTTCGATTTTGGTGATTCATTATGGCATAAATCTGTTTACTTATCTTTGAAAATTGAATGCCATTAGTTACAAAGTCCTTGATTTTTCTCCCCCTTCTTCAGTTCTACCATCTTCTGTTATTTTATAAAATTTATCTTTGGCTAGTCCATTACTGCTTCACAACCCATAATTTCAGGGAAAATTTAATTTTTTTTTCTCAAATCTACTCTTGGAAACTAGTGTGTTTGGTCATGGGTTTGGATTTTGGGCTTGGGATTTTAATAATAAAATTTTGAATCGAAATTGTTGTTTGATGTGATATAAATAGGTGTTGATGTTATATTTTTTTGGGAAAAAATCTTTTGACTGTTTAATTCCACACAGGAAGGGAGATACTCTGATGCAGTTAGAAGGTTAGAATTTGATAAGAAGCTTGGACCATACACCTTGAGTCAATATGGGGCTTGGAAGAATTTATCCAACTATATTACGAAAGACACTATTGAGCGCATTGGTAGGTGATTTTAATTTGTGCAGCTGGCATGTTTGCATTCTTTTCCTGGATCTGGAACTTAGAAATCATTCATGAGTTGATTCTTGCTTCATTGTTTATCATAAAGTTAGTGGTAATTAGTTGAAATTTTGAACCAATTAGCGGATTGAATACAAGCAGGGATGAGTTAATGAGAAGTATAAAATATAAATGAGCTAGTGGCTAGTTGAAGTATACAACAAGATATGCTTTCAACTGAATTAAAATTTTGTGCTGCCAAATGCTCATTTTGACTTCATTCCAATTGTCTATGTATTGCAGCATCTTTCTGTCATTAATTTTGCTATTGTCTATGTATTGCAACATATTTCTGTCATTGATTTTGCTGATTTAATGTATAGCTATTTGAAGTTAGGATTGTTTTGTGCCTTTGGTGGATCAAGTGTCTTAGTTTGGCATTTATGAATTGCTGTTTTGGTATGTAGTAACATTTGGATTTTTTAAACAGAACTGAGTGATTTCCTATTTTCGCTGCAAGAATTGATATTGAAGCACTTTAAATCATGCCCTTTCTTTTATTTCCATTTGAAAGGATGATTGTTTCTTTCGTGTTCATGATAACGGTGGACATTTTGCAGAACCTATTGGAGGAGAAATCACAATTGCCTGTGAACCTGACATGGTAGGAAGATCCTCTAAGACAATAATGGAAGAAAAGATGTCTGAGCAGTTAACAAATAACAGGTTTGCAACATCTGAGGAGAAGTCCAAAAGAAGGGGTTGTTATTATACTACAATTCCTCGGGTTGTCAAATACAAGGGCATGTCTGGCCAGGAGCTCACTAATTTGAATGTTGACAAGGTAAGTTTAGTATTTTTTGTAGTTGCAGAATTTAAAGGATGTTGATTGGGTAAGTATTCTGCATTTAACAGACACAGCTATTGGAAAGCATATTGATGAAAGAATATGGTGGCGATGAAAATGCACTTCTTGCAGAATTACAGTTTGCGTTCATAGCATTTCTGGTAGTGAAGGATTCTTCAGCTATTCTGCTTTATTTTTATGCAATTATTTATCCGAAACGTGATATTATTGGAGATATTTACATTCAAAATACTAATTTATTATGGTTCTTCCTGTATTCTTTTGCAAAATTATGCAGATGGGTCAATCACTTGAGGCTTTTCTTCAGTGGAAGCTTTTGTTGACTTTGTTGTTTGGCTGCACAGAAGCTGTAAGTATACTACAAAACATGGAATTTGCCTTATCAATCAGGAGATATAGGGTCAACAAGTGGTTGGTGCTAAGTAGATTCTTGGACAGTTGCTTAGGTTTTAAGGGTGTTCTATATTGGTAGTTACGATATTTTAACTTCTCAGCTTTTCTGTTATTTGTTTTTTTTTTCTTTCTAGAGCCAAGATGGTGTATTATTAGTTTATTATGTGAGTATGCTGGGAATTAGAACTTTTTTCTGGTACAGTGTTTTGTTTATGTTTAGTTTGCTTACAGTATCAGGATGGTCTTGTTAAAGTTTTTGTACATGTTAATCTTAGAGATATGTGTGAATCCAAGGTGTTGATTCTGTTAGAAGTTTTGGCTGAGTTACTTCCTATACACTTGAGAGGAATTTGTAATTATTCATCATGTGAAATTCAATTTGTATTTAACTTTGTTTTGTTGTTTTTATAGCCTCTTCGCACCAGGAGCCGGCTATTCACAAAGGTACCATTGAATCTTTTAATGTATTTATCTTTCTGTATCTCTGGGTAAAGTGGAATGGTGATTGTTTTGAGATGAATTTTGTTATAGCCAACATGCGAACTTTGAAGATTTCCGCTCTTGTCATCTGCATCATAGTTGCATCTATGTGGGTTCCAACTTCCGTGAAAGTGATATCACAATTGTCGGATATGTAATGCATGGATAATGTCATAATATTGTTTTTGTGCATGCTAGGGTTATTTGCGCAAATAGATTCCAATAGTATCTGAAGCAATCTTTTTCAACTCTGAGCATTGGTTGTTTTTCTTTTTCTTTGATTCGATACTGTTCTAGCCATGAGTACTTGTGTAACTTTTTAGATTTTCCTTGTGTGTGACTGTGTGTTTCTTTTTTCAACATTTCTCCTGAGCTCCATGTTTGTTGCATTTGCAGTTTGTTAGGATCGTGTTTTACCAGTTAAAATATGGATTTAAAAAGGATGAAAATGACATTGGTGCAATGCGTGAAGGAGTGCCAGCTTTGTTGGATGAATCTTGGCTATCTTCTGATAGCTTTCTGCATCACCTTTGCAAGGTATTGCCATCGGCACAAGGATGACATATTGACGTCTATAGACATTATTACATTAACGAATGCATGTGTGCCATAGTGTTGCTACTGATGCTGCCGCTAGTATGATTATATCTTATTATATCAAGATATGCCTTGAAGTTCATTATCTTAGTTTAATAATTTCCAGACATCTTGGAAATCCCTAGGGTCCTGATTTTATGCCCATTAGAACTTTTGAGTTGCAATTAATTTAATCAAAAGGACCACTGTAAACACATTAATATGCAGGAATTTTTTTCGGTGGTGCTAGAAGCTCCGGTTGTCGATGGAGATCTTCTCTCATGGGTAAGTACGCACGTGTCTTAATAAACAATTAAATCAGCATTATGCCAGTTGCAAAATCCTAGACTGTCTCTAATCAACCAATTAAATGTTGGTATTCAACACTACCCATTGACATCTTTGAAAATTTTGAAAAATGGCTGTTGTCTCTTTCATTTCAGACAAGAAAATTGAAATCACTAGTGGAGGACACTTTAGGATGGGCATTCAGGCCGAAGAGCAGCAGCACAGGTGATGGAATTTACTTTGATGAAGATGATGAGGTAGGTTTTTCTGGAGGTCTGTAGTTATTATCCGAATGAAGCCACTATACTATCTCTTATTAATTCAAAGTATGCAATGCAATGCAGTATGCCCCGGTGGTAGAGTTTACAAACGATACAGACGAATACATGGTTGGATGAATTGAACTCAACATGTGGCTGTGTGAATTCTCCAGGTACAGTTGAGTGTTAAGTCAGTTAGTAGTAGTAATTAACAGGGACAGAATATTGCATGCTGTATGTTAGCCTTTGTGTTGATGTTTTTGATGGCCACATTAATGATTTAGTCTATCAAAAGTTTTATTATACATCTTTTTTAAGTATAAACAAATAAATCTCAAGCTACAGTTCATCTATTGGGCAGGCAGGCAGGCAGGCAATACAAAGAACACACATATACAGATTTCAGATTGATCCAAATCTTGACCACAAATATCACATTATCACTCACTGTAAGTATAGCTCTGCATAGCAATAAGTTGTTCTACTTTCAATTTCGTAGACCGACTGACTGACTGACTGACTGACTGACGTACTTATGCATTGTGTGCAAGTGCTACAACAAAACTACATTTTGTATATTAGACATGTTCGATACAAAACTGAAATTTGCCCGAGTTTTTTTTTCTGTCACGTCCTGCTAAGAATCTATTCATTTTTTCTTTCTTATATTATAGAATTGTTTATCAAAGTTGTTATGTTTTCTTTTTCCGCTGCATTAATAAGTTTGTTATTTTATATAAGGCGACGGTTACTCTGCTGATGTCTCGGTGTTGATATTGTGTTAGCCGTTTGATAGCAATAGCGCTGAAGTCTAATCTTAAGGTTATAATTTGACAAGGTTAATGTAGTAAATTCAATATTTGAATTTTGCTCGAGTTTGTTGATTAATGTAGTACCTGTTTAGAGTAGAGTTTTGCTTATATATGTATTTTTATTGTTTTATATATTACTAGAGTTTGTTAATCCATATAGTAGAAATTGCTTGTTCCTTTGTTTAATTTTGAATTTTTAGAAATTTAAATAAAATAATACTACCTCCGTCCACTGCCAATCTATCCATTTGTATTTGGCGTCATTGTTTTTAACATTAAAAATATTCTTATATTTGTATAATATTTTATACAAATATTATTACATTAGTATTATAAGACACAAATAGAAAGAATTTTTGTTGTTTTTGTGCAAAAAGTAAATTGATAGATTGGCTGTCGACGGAGGTACTAATATGTTTTTACAATGTATTTAACACTCTTTATTTTCTTTGTTTAAATAATACTCCCTATGTCCCACATAATAACTTGTCATTTTTTTTTAAAATATAATTATACACTTTAATTAAATTTTAAATTTTAAATTTTATAATTTTTTTAATTTTAATTAAACTATTTAGTTATTTTAATCTTAATCTATAATTATTTTTACTATACAATAATTATTTTTATTAATACACTTTTTAATTACTTAATAATTATACTAAATTCTCGTATCTACGGTAACATGCCCAAATTATGTATGACGGAGGGAGTAGTTATATTTACTAACTTGTTGAGTAAAATTTTGCTAATATATGTATGTATATATATTTTTGTTTTTATATATTGTTATATAGTTTGTTAATTTATGCATTTAATATGGCTTATCCATTTGTTTATATTTGCTAATTTAGTTTTTTTAGAAATTTAAATAAAATAATCATATTTATACGGAAGTTAACGTGTTTAAAACATTGTAATTTTTATTTATTATTATTATTTTTTTCTGTTTATATGTACTACTATATATTATATTTTGTTTTATATATTGCTATAGTTTGTCGATTTATGATTTATTTATTTGTTTAAGTTTGCTAATTTAATATTTTGAGAGATTTAAATAAAATAATTATATTTTGTTTTCAAAAATTAATGTATAACATTTTTTTTTTCTTTGCTCAAGTAGTAGTTTGCTAACTTGTTGAGTAAATTTTTTACAAATATATACTCCTTCCGTCCGCCTCTAAGGTCACATTTACATTTTGCCGTCATTGTACTTGATATTAAAAATATTGTTATATTTGTATAATTTGTTGTACAAATATTATTTTATAAGTATTATAAGACACTAATGAAAATATTTTTATAATTTTTTTTTTTAATTTTTACTATGTTTTTATATAATAATTAATATTCAAATATCAACATGTATGCCCTTAGAGTAGGACGGAGATAAGATATATTTTTATTGTTTTATATATTGCTATAATTTGCTAATTTATGCATGGGATATAATTTTTTTTTTAAGTTTGTTAATCTAATTTCTAAAGTTTTGGATAAAATAATAATATTTTTTCAGAAGTTAATATATTTTATATATATATATTTTTCTCAAATAATAGTTATATATGCTAACTTTTTTGAATAAAATTTTTGGCAATATCATTTTTTATTGTTTTATATATTGCTATAGTTTGCTAATTTATGCCTTCAATATTGCTTTTCATTTGTTTAAGTTTACTAGTTTAAATATTTAGAAATTTAAATAAAATAATTAAAGATATTTTTTTAAAAGTTAATTTATTTAACATTTTTTTTTTCTTTGGCCGAATAGTATTTACGTGTTTTTGATTAAATTTTTTGTTAATATATACTCTGTTATTCAAATTTATTTATTTATTTTTTAATTGTCATCTAATTTTATTCTTCTTATCATTTTTATTATTAAAAAAAATTGTTTTTTCTATTTTATTTTTTACCTTAAAAAATTAAAAATTTCTACTTTTATCTTTTTTTTTTAAATTCGTGTCCGATCAAATGAACATACAATTGGACGACAGAGTGAGTATATATATATATATATATTTAATTCTTGTATATATTTCTATAGTTTGTTAATTTATGCATTGGATATTGGTTTATTCATTTGTTTAAGTTTGTCAATTTAAGTTTTTAGTGATTTAAATAAGATAATCCTACATGTTCAGAAGTTCATGTATTTAAATTTTTTCTTTGTTCAAATAGTAGCTACATGTGCTAACTTGTTGAGTAAAAATTTTACTAAAATACTTTCTTTTTTTTTATTTATTATTATTGTTTTATATATTGCTATAGTTTGTTAATTTATGTATTTGATATTATTCATTAATTTATATTATTCACTAAAATACTAATTTGTTAATTTTTGTTAGTGAAATGACATGAATGATAAATAAGACAATAAAGCATATAAATTTAAAGAATGACTTGTTAAAATAACAATAAAGTAAAGTGTATTAATTGCAAGAAAAAGAAATTCAACACAAAAATAGAAATAAATAAATAAATAAATGAGCTACATGATTGAAAATAAATTATTGGAACAGGAAATGCTTTAACCTCTCCTCATGTACCTGTGCAGCTGTGCTAGCTACTTCAATTATTCTACATTAAAAACCCTATTGAAGACTTCCATTGATTGTTCATTTATTAATTCAATTATATACTTTTGTAACCTACTTCTTAAATTCTTATAAAAGATCTCATCACATCCCTTTCACTACCAAAAAATATATATATATATATATATTTGTAACGGAATTCCGTCACTAAAGATCACGTAGCTAACGTAATTCCATAATTAATTCCGTCTCTAATATCATTAGTAACGGAAAAAGTGAATTTAGAGACGAAAAAATCTCGTTACAAAAATGATATTTTCTTGCAGTGTTTTCTTCCGTTCTATAAAAGTCATTTTCTACAATTCAATTCATCCAAATATTCTAAACCTATTGGATCAATTTTTGATTTTCTTTTCGACATCATTTGGCCTTAAATCCTTTCACAAGTCGATTCTTTCATTTTTATTTATTTATTAATTTTTTTTGGCCCACTGCGACAAATATAATTTCCTAATTAGATCGGAATACCAAAAATACAATAATCTAACACTAGACTTGAGACAACCTAACGAGCGTATTTGATAGCGAATAAATCAACTAAATTTAAACAAAATCAATAATATAATTGAATAGTTATATAATGTAACATCGTCGATGATAAGCTTAGAAAAGTTCCATTTATATTTTAATTAGTAGTGACCAACTTTTGCAAAGTTAAATGGATCGAGTAACATTTAAGCTTAGATCTGTACATACATGAGCATATATATATATATTCATAAACAAGTTGGATTGGGAGTTGAAATATAATAATATTGAATTTATTCACATCCAATCAACCAAGGTAACATTGAACAACATATAATTAATATGAAATGAACGGTATTGGTAAAAAAAAAAATCTAATATAGTATATTTAGCAAAGCAATATATCATTTTTTTTTTTTTGTCTTTATTATTATTATATCCTCCGTCCCAGATCGGTAGACACAATAATTACTAGGGATAGTAAATAATTAAGAATGTATTAGTAAAACTAATTAATACAAATAATTATAAAGCAATATCAAGATAACTAATTAGTCTAATAAAAATTAAAAAAAATTATAAATTATAAAATTTAAAATATAATTAAAAGATAAAATTCTTTTCCCAAAATAGAAAGTGACATAATATTGGGGACAAATGAAGATAAAAAATGTAACATAAGATGTAGGACGAAGAAAATATTATTATTATTATTATTATTAAAAAGAAGAAGAAAATATATTACATTCATATTGTGCCAACTCAAATATATGTAATTTGCGGGTCATTCAAAACTAACGAATAGTTGTTCCCCGTTAACTAAATATATGCTTATGTTGAAAATGAATTGCATTTTGCATTGGATTTTAGTTGATGTTTACGGGATGTCTAATCAACGTATGGACTATGGTGAAAATTAAAGTTGCGGTCTATTTAACATGGAGCAAGTGATCCATTCAGTTGTGGTTCAAATCGGCCAGACTAGTGTATCTACAAAATGAACATTGATCCTAAGATATCTGCTATAAATGGATAGATAGATTTTAGGAGATTTAATTGAAAGAAAATATGGAAGTCAAACTAAGGAGTTATTGAGAATTATTTCTTTCCTTATTTGATAATTTTACCATGTTGAGAATGTTTGAGGTTGGAGAAGTAACGATAGTGCATATCTAATTGATTTTTATATAAAAGAGGAGGAGAATGAGTTAATAGCAAGGGGAACAAGGAATTGGATTGGGGGAAGTTGTAGATGTGAACGAGTGTACTATGAAATTCTATGTGAGTGATAGAGCGAGATTTTTTAAAGCAATGATTCACACAACAACTTTGTAATCTTGATTCATTCATCCTTGTTTTGTGTTTTATGTTTTTGTTGTCACCAGCATGCGTATTCGCAGTCCGATCGTTCAGCAAACAACGAGTCTGTGTTGAGATTTTATGTTTCGATTTTTTTTTCGAAGTGAGTTGTTATTGCTGCTAGGTGTTTGATCGATTTTGGGACCAACAACTTATTTGGGTTCGATATGAATTTTTAATGAATATAATATTACATATTGGTTGTAACTAACGGAAATTAGGAATATTTTGGAAAATATATATATATTAATTAATGAAGTAAGAATTTTTTTTTTCTTTTTTTGATAAATTGAATGTGTAAGTAGTTGTAGCATTTTATTAAATAAGTGCAATCTTAAAGGATATAAATTAAAGAGTGTGTAAGAATTATTTTTTATAAATGAAAAATGTATATTTTTTGTGAAAAAATAAAAAAAATAAATATATATAAAATTAATGGACGGAGGAAGTACAAAATAATTGTGGAAAATAAAGATCTACATCTAAAGACCACCTATAGTTAACCCACATCATAAATTTATAAATAATTAGTGAAACTCACATCACAATATACAATAAGTAAAAATATAATTAGAAAAAAGTAAGGGCGAAGAGTATATATGTGCTTAACCTATCGCTAGAATATAAGTATAGATAACTCAGGTGGTATCCTTACCAGAGTTTGTACCATTACTATAATATGATATAATCTATTACATTATTTCTTTAAAATTATAAATAGGTTCGTTTTATCAATATGTTTCGTTTCTGACTTGATAGAAATATAATAATAATATTATATTGCAAGAATATAATTATCGAAATAAATTCGATAGCACAATAGTTTTTACCGAAATAAATTCGATAATCACAATAATTTATTGAAATAAATTTCAATAATTAATTTATCGAAGTCATTTGATAATCACGTCGAGTCAAGGTAAAACCTCTTTCTGTAAAAATGAATACGTCCCGATAGTGCTTCCGGTTCGTGACACAACGTTTCCAAAGATAAAACGACGTTCGTCTCCAAATTAGGTGGCACCCCAATATTTCGGAGCTCCGGCGAACTAAAATTAGGCGAACTGATACCGTGTCGGAAGACTTGGAAATGAAGAAAAGAAATAGGCCGAATGCGACCGGAATATCGATTGGAAACACACCGGAAAAATCACCGGAAATAATATATATTAGAGAGAGGAGATGAATAATTGTTGTGTGCATAAAATGGACGAATAAACACCCTTTTTATAGGCAAACCACACGAGCAGGGAATTACTATTCCTTTGAAAACCGACGATTGATTTTTTAGGTAACCTCCAAATTAAATTTGAGTAATGACCTTCATTCAATTGTGTGTTTTCAAAATTTCAAAATCATGTAATTTGGTGCATGATCATTATCTAACTTTAATGCCTTATAATTTGTAATTGAATTTAATGTTAATGCATGCATGTAAGTAACAGTGCACGCACATCTACACCAATTAATGCAATTTAAAGTCATGTTTAACATGTATATATATGCGTGTCTATGCACCTATAGTGAGTCTTTTAAATGCATGCATTTTTGGGCTTATATTGTTGGTTTATAATGTTATTTTCTTGAACTTCAATTTCAACAAAAATATTTTGTTGTTTCGAGCAAGCTCCGGAGCAATATAGACTTTGTTAAGTCTAATATTTACCAAGCCCAAGCTATAACTCACGATCAATATTCGTCCGGGCGAGCGGCGCGTGCCTTTTGCTAATCGGCATTCATATGCCTCATACAACTCATATGCATTTCAACTCACTGAATGATCGGTATCAAAATTTATGAATTTAATTTATAAATTAAATTCCATCGATTAAATAATAAAACGATTAACCGATTATCCAACATTTACATACATATTCACTACAAAAACCATCTTTTTAAACCAAATTTGGCAATATTGCTATAATCTATGGAATACATTCATCGCTATTAGCGATGGATATTTGTGACAGATATTCGATCCGTTAATAATCAGTGAGGGAAACACTTGAAAGATAAAAAAAAGAACAAGTCGTCCTTGTTTGTGGACGGAATATAATTTCATTGCTAACCATGATAGAATTATGGATGGAATTAAATTCTGTTGGTGATAGAGACAAATTTATAAACAAAATTAACTTATGTTGCTAAAACAAAATTAAAATCCCTGACCCTCCCACCATCGATTTCATTCACACCCAAACAAATTTCACATCAACAACGACAACATAGCGGCAATCGGCAGAGGGATTTTCGGACTTCGACAATAGTTAGGCGAACTGCGGCGCATGAGCGGCGAACATGCGGTAACGGTTGTGAACAAAGCAAGTGGTGGTTTTATTTTATTTTTTATTCTAGTATGAATTTTATTTATGGAATTGAGTTTCATTTATCATTTTGAGTTATGCTTCATACATCTCGAATAGCCTAAAGTATTGTTAGTACTTATTACACAAACAATCCAATTGATAGCAGTGTTGTTGCAATTCTATTCATATGAAACCGAAACTTGTGAGAGCTATTTCATAAAACTTTCTAAAAATTATAATTCAAGAGTGTTTGCAACCTAGAAAACGTAATTACTTTCGAAACTTGAATTCTACATAACTTCAAACATTTAAGCTATATTATCTAGAGCTAACACTAAGTAATCAATTTTTTTTTTCATCTGTTAGCATATTGTTAAACTAGCATAATACTATTGTTGTTTGTAAAACTCTTTCAGTGGTGAATTTATTAAATATGACAACCCCATGGAGAGAATTGATGTACAATAGAATCCGTAAGGGTATTCTACATAAATAATTTATTAGTGGTGTTGAAGATTTCCTAAGTATTGTATGAATATTATAGAGGTCTATAATATCAATAATAGTATACGGTGTCTATACAAGCATTGTAAAAATACAATATTCTTATTGGTAGATGATGTGAAATACCAACTGCACTCTAGAGCTTTTATACCAAAGTATGATATGTGGTCATATCATAGTAAAAAATAGGCAAAATAGCATAAAATTCCCCTGTGGTTTCACGAAGTTGCTGAAAACCCCCTCTGGTTCTAAAAATCCAAAAAGTCTATTTGTGGTTTGTAAAATATTGCAGAAAAACCCTCATCGGTTAGAACTTAACGGAGAGTGTATGTTATGCGCCTTAAATGCGAATTTTGGTCCAAACAATGATAAATTTGTATGTGAAGTTACTAAAATGACCCTCTGACTTTATTATATACACTTTTTTCTCACCCAAAATTCAATACAGCTTAGTTATTCCACAATGTCTTCTTCTCACCCGATTGTGCAGGTTCAAAATTTTCAGAATATATTCAATTCAAGGAATAAAAAAAATTAAAATGGATAGATCATGTTCTTAACAGATATTCATAAAAAATGAAGGCACTTAAAAAATCAATAGAGAATTGTGATTTTTCATCTTCTCCAATATTTATCTAATGTACAGAGGAATCATGGGAATGTGATAAAGAATAGAGCAACTTACAGACTTACAATGCTAATTCTATGTTTCTTTCTCCATTCTTGTAGATATTTTTTAGATTAATTTTTAAGAGCAAAGAATTCATAATTGGAGAAGAACTTGGTGCGGCTAAGGCTGCCTGAAGAAGAATGGGGAAAGAAGAAGTAGAAGAAGGGAAAAAAAAAATTGGGAAGAAGAAGAAGAAAAGAAGAAATTGAAGGGGAAAAAAAAAGAACCTGGTGCGTGTGACTGCAATTACGGGTGAAGAATGATTGAGAAAGAAAATTGGGGAAAAGGAATAAGAGAAAGAATCTGATATGGCTATGGGGGTGTGAAGAAAAATTGGGGAAGAAGAAGAAGGAACTCAAACAATTAAGACCCAGAAGAAAGAAAAATTGTGTTCTGAAATTAGACGCGAATGAATCTGTTTTCCAAAAATTGACTGACTGGCAAACAACTCCAGCCCATTCTGACAGCCGACAGCGGTGGCGGTTCTTAGCAGCTTTCTTCCTTGGACGAACAGAAAACGGGTGAATACTTCTGCCGATGACTTTTTCACCGATCTTCTGAAAGAAAATTAGAGAAAAATAAGAAGAGAAAGGAAGAAGAAGAAGATGGGAGTGAGCGTGTGGGAGAAAAAGGAAAGAAAGAAAGTAGGAGAGAGAAATAAATTAGAAAAAATATAAATAAGGGTATAACGGTCCATTACGATAAAATTTAACGTCTGTTAGTAGAATTTAGAAGGAAGTAGCGAGTGTGCAACATTTTGAAAACCACGAGTAGGTTTTTGTAATTTTAGAATTACAGGGGGTTTTCAGCAATTTCTTGAAACCACAGGGGGATTTTATGCTATTTTGCCTAAAAAATAAGATAGAAGTGATAGCTCATAATAATGTGAGCTAATAGCTTTTGTATACACCTACTAATCCAATGATAGCAAGTTATACTCAAATGGTAATGAATACTAGAGGGCTCATATTTGAGTCACGCATGGAGCAGATGAAGAACGTAACTCCAAAAAATAAGGAATCGCATAATTTTCTCCAAGCAACTGATAAAGAGTCGTGGCATACGTGTACGAAGACAACATTATTGTCCAACTTGTCAAGAATTTTAAATATTAATGTTGATTTCCACTTGCCTGAGCATTGGTTAGATATGCAGTGTAACACCCCCAGTTGGCTCATACTGGAAATGCTACCGCCACACTGCATCATGAGGTCGTCACCTCTTACTTCGGGCCCCACAATACAGTGTTAAGGCTAAATTAACCATAAAAGCGCATTATTATATATACCAAAATCTGATTTATAAATATTTACAAAACACACCCCTTAGCAAGAGGTTTTTCCGGTTAAAAATTTACATATAATACAATATACGTAAGTTCACTCACTCAGCCTATCTTTCTATATCTCGAGACGTCCCCTGTCTCGGATGTGCCATGCATACCTGAAACAAATATTTTCTTAAAAACAGTCCAGAATTATATCTGTTTTAAGAACTAACGTGAAATATGTCATTTCACACCTTTTTAAAATAAAGTCTAATTCCCGTTAATCATAAAATACGTGTCATGTCATGCCAATAGTGAAATGATGCAATACAAATATCAAACTCGACAACAATGCACACTCATATATATATCCGCCAAAGTGAGCAGCCGGAATAACCTCGGCTCCATAATCATAGGCTCACTACATCTGTCTAAGTGAGCAGCCGGAATACCCTCGGCCCCGTAATAACAAGCTCACTAGACCATCATCAATAAATAGCCGGAAAATCCTCGGCTCAAGGAAGGACCTAATAAACCCATAATAATATAACGGTCATCCGGTCACTTCCATATACCCACCATACCACTCCCACAATCAATACATGGATAGCCGAACGTTGTCGCCATTAACCACAAGACGCCCCATAGTTTGTGATAGCGAAGATAGGACCTCCACTGACTAGCCCTATCCCGTGTAATGTAATAGAATCCGTGCAACCTGGAATCACCCAAGGCAAACCCGGAAACTCTATTCCTCCCCGCGCGCCCTAATGGGATCACGTTTGGAGTTTGGCATATGATCCTAAACTACCGGTAGACCTCACCAGTGGCAAACCCAATGAGTGGAACAACACCGAACACGAATGATTATACCAAATACGTCTCAACTACAATGGGTCTAATCCCTGAATGACCGTGCGACTAAGTCACCCAGTTGTCCGACTACTATCGTCCACTATCGCCAAAGTGTTACGGTACATCGGGGTCGAATATCCTAACCCCAGATGATGCCCTCGCCTAGCACTACCGCACACAGCGACTAGAGGATAGATCCATAAAACACATCCGATAAACCGTGCAATATGTGTGCAACATGCCAACTAAGTGAATTTACCGAAAAGGGCTGGTGAGACAGCTCACCTATCCTCATTTTCATAAATTCACCAACGCGATCAAATACGTATATCAAATATCATAAACCGTGAAGTCTCCCACATGCATACGCACACATATATATATAAATATATACATGCAACAAAATGATTCACATAATATCACGTTAACATATTAATCAGAATCGCATGCAACATGCATACCTAATTTCTTAAAATTAGATTTAATTCCCTACTGCTTACCTCTTATCGACACTCCCTAGCTCCCGCAATTTCACCCAAATCTCTTCCAACGTACACCTGCCCCATTATTTACTCAAATCAGCTGAGCTATATACTTATACATAGGAGCTACCTGCTTATTCAAAAGGTAATTTCTATAGTTAGCTCGTTGGGTTTCAAACTTTTATATTTAGTAGACTACGATATTCTAGCTATAAAACTCTTATACCTCATAATATTTATATCGCCCGATTATTAAATAAAATTACTTAAAGATATGAATAAACAGACAGGTGCAGTACATTGCCGTTTTCAATTCAGCTCGGATCGATACGAAATTCTCAGAATATAATACTAAGACTACGAATAGGCTATTAGCTAAAGAAATTCGTCGATTAAATAGCCAAATAGCTAGTTATAAATTTTTGAAGAATTTCTAATTTAATATTCTCAATATCGAAATTCATATTAAAATTCATAATTAAATTCTACGTATAACAAATAATACAATACCGAAGTCGGAATTGAAATCGAACGGCTAAATCGTTTTCTTTCCTTCTTTTCTTCTTTCTCTTCTTTCTCCTTCGCGTTCTTCTGTTTTGGTCGTCCTTCGCAGGTAAGTTTGGTTTGTTATATAAAATTATATTATTATTATATATATTATATATTATATTATATTATATTATTATTATTAACGTTATTATGATTATTATTATTATTATATCTTCGTCATCATCCATCCTTATCATTATTATTATTATAATATTATTATATATTATATTTTCTATTTATCTTTATCGATATTTATCCATTTAACAGCCTTTTAAATCACAATCAATATATAAAATAGGAATAAAATTTATTCCAAAATATTAATTTCTTGATTCTAAAATATTATAAAAATATTTATTTGCTATAATAATATTATTTTATACACTCCAAAATTGGGGTATTACAATTCACTCCCCCTTAAAAGATTTCGTCCCCGAAATCTAAACTCAAACGCATAACAATACTACTTAATTAAACAAATGTGTGTATGCTTTGAACATCTCTTGCTCCACTTCCCATGTGGCCTCTTCTGCTCCATGCCGGGACCACATTACCTTCACCATACGAATATCTCGGTTCCTCGTAGTTTGAACCTTTGTGTCCATGATCCAAAGAATAGGAATAAAATTTATTCCAAAATATTAATTTCTTGATTCCAAAATATTATAAAAATATTTATTTGCTATAATAATATTATTTTATACACTCCAAAATTGGGGTATTACAATTCACTCCCCCTTAAAAGATTTCGTCCCCGAAATCTAAACTCAAACGCATAACAATACTACTTAATTAAACAAATGTGTGTATGCTTTGAACATCTCTTGCTCCACTTCCCATGTGGCCTCTTCTGCTCCATGCCGGGACCACATTACCTTCACCATACGAATATCTCGGTTCCTCGTAGTTTGAACCTTTGTGTCCATGATCCAAAGAATAGGAATAAAATTTATTCCAAAATATTAATTTCTTGATTCCAAAATATTATAAAAATATTTATTTGCTATAATAATATTATTTTATACACTCCAAAATTGGGGTATTACAATTCACTCCCCCTTAAAAGATTTCGTCCCCGAAATCTAAACTCAAACGCATAACAATACTACTTAATTAAACAAATGTGTGTATGCTTTGAACATCTCTTGCTCCACTTCCCATGTGGCCTCTTCTGCTCCATGCCGGGACCACATTACCTTCACCATACGAATATCTCGGTTCCTCGTAGTTTGAACCTTTGTGTCCATGATCCAAAGAGGCATTTCCTCAGATGAAAGATCCTCATTTAGCTCTAACTCATCCGGAGATAAAATATGAGAAGGATCTGCGACATACCTACGAAGCTGCGATACATGAAACACATTATGAATTCGTTCCATGAAATTAGGAAGTGCTAACCGATAAGCCCAATCCCCAACTCGATCGAGGATTTCATAGGGTCCAACATAACGCAGACTCAATTTTCCTTTAATTCCAAACCTTCTAATACCTTTCATTGGAGATACTTTTATTAGGATGAAATCTCCACTTTGATATTGGCCTTCACGTCGGGCTTTATCGACATAACTTTTTTGGCGATCTTGAGCTATCTTCATCTTCTCCCTGATAACTCGAATCTTATTTTTTGATTCTTCGATCATTTCTGGACCTAATATCAGTCGATCACTCATGTCATCCCAACTTAAAGGAGTTCTGCATCTTCGTCCATAAAGAGCTTCAAAAGGAGCCATTCCAATACTTGTTTGATAACTATTATTATATGAGAATTCCACTAAATCCAAGTGGTCCTCCCAATTTCCTTGAAATTCTACTGCACAAGCTCTTAGCATATCTTCCAGAATACGGATAGTTCGCTCTCATTGACCATCAGTCATTGGATGAAATGCAGTACTCATATGCAACTGAGTACCAAAGGCTTCTTGCAATTTTTGCCAAAATCGAGATTGAAAACGTGGATCACGATCCGATATGATTACCTTAGGAATACCGTGTCGTTTAACCACATGATGAACATATAATTGGGCCAACTTCTACATGCTCCAAGTCATACATACTGGGATGAACACTGCTGACTTAGTCAATCTATCTATAATCACCCAAATTGCATCTGTTCCCGACTTCGCCCTTGGAAGTCCTGTCACAAAATCCATTGCAATAGAATCCCATTTCCAGAGCGGAACTTCTAAAGGCTGTAGCAACCCCATCGGTTTCTGATGTTCTGCTTTTACCTTTTGGCAGTTTAAACATTGTGCAACGAATTTGGCTACATCCTTCTTCATGCCCTTCCACAAAAAATGTTGACGTAAGTCTTGATACATTTTAATCCCCCCTGGATACACTGAATGTGGTGTATTATGAGCCTCACTTATAATTTTCTCTTTCAAATCGCTTCGGTCCTTTGGGATACACCACCTCCCATGGAATCGAAGACTCCCATCTGAAGCAATATTAAAGTTTTGAGTCTGACCGCACTGAACTTTTATAGCCAGCTCGACCATCTTATTATCTTCCATTTGAGCCGCTCTAATATGATCATAAATTTCAGGCTCAACTTGTATCATTTGCAAATATCCCCGCGTCATGCCCCGTCCAAGTACTTCAATTTCCATCCGTGCTAGATCTTGACACAGTTCATCAGCAACTGACATATAACCCAACTTATGCCTTGGTTTTTGACTCAAGGCATCAGCTACAACATTTGCTTTACCTTCATGATATACAATTTCGAGATCATAATCCTTCACCAATTCTAACCATCTTCTTTGTCTTAAATTTAATTCCCTTTGGGTGAAGATATATTTCAAACTCTGATGGTCAGTAAACATTCTACAATGGACACCATAAAGATAGTGCCTCCAAATCTTCAAAGCAAACACAACTGCTGCCATCTCCAGGTCATGTGTAGGATAATTTTCTTCGTGAGGTTTTAGTTGTCGTGACGCATAAGCAATAACTCTTTGATTCTGCATTAAGACGCATCCCAATCCCCTTTTCGAAGCATCACTATAAACTTCAAAATCCTCACCCTCTACTGGTAAAGCCAAGATTGGTGCTGAAGTTAATCGATGTTTCAATTCTAAGAAAGAAGACTCACACTCACGATCCTAATTAATCATTGTGTCCTTCTTCAGCAAATTAGTTAATGGCTTCGCAACCCTCAAAAAATCAAGAACGAATCTTCGGTAATACCCTGCCAAACCCAAAAAGCTTCTTACTTCTGATTGATTGGTAGGTCTTGGCGAATCCGAGATTGCCGCAACTTTAGAAGGATCTACTGAGATACCCTTACCAGACACTACATGCCTCAAGAAAGCAACCTTTTTCAACCAAAACTCACATTTGGATAACTTGGCATATAACTTCCTCGCACGCAGTGTATTTAGTGTCACACGCAAATGTTTTGCATGTGTCTTTTTATCTGGAGAATATACCAAGATATCATCGATAAATATCACCACAGACTGATCGAGGTATGGTTGAAAAATTCGATTAATTAATTCCATAAACGCAGCCGGGGCGTTGGTCAACCCAAAAGACATAACCGTAAATTCATAATGACCGTATCTAGCGCGAAATGCTGTCTTAGGAATATCATGCTCTGCAACCCTTAGTTGATAATATCCAGACCTCAAGTCAATCTTAGAGAATACACTTGCACCTCTCAGTTGATTAAATAAATTATCAATTCTCGGAAGAGGATATTTATTCTTTAACGTTACTTTATTCAGCCCACGGTAGTCAATACACAACCTTAAGCTTCCATCTTTCTTTTTCACAAATGAAACTAGAGCACCCCAAGGCGACGTACTAGGACGAATGTAACCTTTATCCAATAATTCCTGTAGTTGCAATTTAAGTTCAGCGAGTTCTAACGGTGCCATGCGATATGGGGCTCTTGATACTGGCTCGACGTTTGACACAATATCAATAGTAAAATCCACCTCACGAGCTGGTGGCATACCAGGAATATCATCAGGAAATACATCAGGAAAATCTCGAACCACAGGAATATTTTGCAATTGTTGCTCCCCTTGCTTCAAATCTCTTACCTCACACAGATACACCGGATACCCCTTACGAATAAGTGCTTGAAATGATAGGGACGAAATTACCTTCATAGAAGGTTGTCTTGCAGATCCTGCATAGCTCACTTGTTCACCCATCGCTCCAACCAATGAAATTGATCTTTTTCGGCAATCAAATTGAGCTTGATATGCCATTAACCAATCCATCCCCAGTATCACATCGAACTCGGATAACTTCATACTCAACAAGTTAGTAGCAAAATCAACTCCCTCAATACTAATCGGAATTTGCATATAGAGTTCTCGGCACTCCAGTACTTCTCTTGATGGAAGTAAAACTTCCACTACCACTTCTACCGATGAATTCAGACCAAATTGTTTAACCAAACGTTTAGATATGAACGAGAACGTTGCACCCGAATCAAGTAACACAAGAGCTGACAAACCGCAAACAAGAAATCTACCCGTTAAAACCTCACATGGGTGATGATCAGCCTCTGTTTGGGTAACCACATTTATTCTGCCACGCTGGTCAGGTCCTCTGCCTAGCTGCCTAGATGATGGACGTGACTGGCTTCGACCACCTCGCCATGATGGTCCTAATCCTCTCCCCTGTGACTGTGAAGATGGCGGCTGCCATGGCCTAAATCTCGGTTCTGGAAACTCCATTGCAGTTACCACACTTAGGCATAGCCTGGCAATATGACCACTACCACCACACTTAAAACATGTTAATGGAACTTTATCACAACGGGTACCTGAATGACTTGTTCCACAACGTCGACAAACAACCCCCGATTGTTGAAACCTCTCTTGACTCGGTTCTTTAATCGAAATTCCTTTATACGATGGCCCAGACCTGAATATTTGCCACCATTTATTTTTACCCTTTGGTTCGTCCTCCACCTTAGCTTTTCCTTTATCTCGAAACTGATATTGATACCCCATCTCTTTCTCACTGTTCTTCTGTCTGACTTCCTGCTTCTGATAGAATCGAGCAGCATGCTCGTAAGCCTCATACAACGAACTGATAGCCAACACAGCTAAAGCTTCTTGAATCCTCTGCTGCAACCCATCTACAAAATGATCAACTCTATCTCGCTCACAGGAAAAGTAGTCAGGAACATACATCTCCAGCTCCTTGAATTTTACAAAATAGTCCTCGACTGACATCGAACCCTGCTTCAAGTCCAGCAACTCTTGCTTCTTTGCTTTTCGAACATGTGATGGTATAAACCTAGCTTTTAATTTTGCTTTAAACTCATCCCAAGTCATATCCACTTGGTCCACTCCCGCAGCTTCCTCACCTAACCACCACCGATTAGCTCGACCTTCCAAGAAATAAGCCCCGATATTGACTCGTTGATCTGGTGGAACCTGAACAACACGAAATATCTTTTCCATCTTTTCAACCCAGAACTCAAGAACTCCAGGCTCTACAGAACCAGAATATGTTGGCGGGTTATGCCGCATCACAGCATCAATAAAACTCCTTTGTTGAGGCATCATCGCAGCCATAAACTGCCGGAAGAAATCCTGACTAGGTGCCTCTATTGGTACATGCTCTGGCACAGGATATTGTGACTCATCAGACGAAGGATCTAGCTCTGGGCCTCGAATAGCCCTACGTAAACCATCGCCTCGAGAATTTGACATACTGCCCCCGACTTCCCTGATTCAATATCAACTCAGCAACACAACTAAACCAGATATAACATTAAAGCATAAACCACGTTAACATGAATGCACCCACAAAACCCAAACCTCGCCAAACCAATTCAATATCATAATTATTTTCAAAACCTTTTTAATCCAAAGAGCCAAAATCTACCAAACCTAGGCTCTGATACCAACTTGTAACACCCTTAGTTGGCTCATACTGAAAATGCTACCGCCACACTGCATCATGAGGTCGTCACCTCCTACTTCGGGCCCCACAATACAGTGTTAAGGCTAAATTAACCATAAAAACGCATTAATATATATACCAAAATCTGATTTATAAATATTTACAAAACACACCCTTTAACAAGAGGTTTTTCCGGTTAAAAATTTACATATAATACAATATACGTAAGTTCACTCACTCAGCCCATCTTTCTATATCTCGAGACGTCCCCTGTCCCGGATGTGCCATGCATACCTGAAACAAATATTTTCTTAAAAACAGTCCAGAATTAAATCCATTTTAAGAACTAACGTGAAATATGTCATTTCACACCTTTTTAAAATAAAGTCTAATTCCCGTTAATCATAAAATACGTGTCATGTCATGCCAATAGTGAAATGATGCAATACAGATATCAAACTCGACAACAATGCACACTCACATATATATATCCGCCAAAGTGAGCATCCGGAATAACCTCAGCTCCATAATCATAGGCTCACTACATCTGTCTAAGTGAGCAGCCGGAATACCCTCGGCCCCGTAATAACAAGCTCACTAGACCATCATCAATAAATAGCCGGAAAATCCTCGGCTCAAGGAAGGATCTGATAAACCCATAATAATATAACGGTCAACCGATCACTTCCATATACCCACCATACCACTCCCACAATCAATACATGGATAGCCGAATGTTGTCGCCATTAACCACAAGACGCCCTATAGTCTGTGATAGCGAAGATAGGACCCCCACTGACTAGCCTTATCCTGTGTAATGTAGTAGAATCCGTGCAACCTGGAATCACCCAAGGGAAACCCGGAAACTCTACTCCTCCTCGCGCGCCCTAACGGGATCACATTTGGAGTTTGACATATGATCCTAAACTACCGGTAGACCTCATCAGTGGCTATATATGTGTGCGTATACATGTGGGAGACTTCACGGTTTATGATATTTGATATACGTATTTGATCGCGTTGGTGAATTTATGAAAAGGAGGATAGGTGAGCTGTCTTACCAGCCCTTTTCGGTAAATTCACTTATTTGGCATGTTGCACACATATTGCACGGTTTATCGGATGTGTTTTATGGATCTATCGTCTAGTCGCTGTGTGCGGTAGTGCTAGGCGAGGGCATCATCTGGGGTTAGGATATTCGACCCCGATGTACCGTAACACTTTGGCGATAGTGGACGATAGTAGTCGGACAACTGGGTGACTTAGTCGCACGGTCATTCAGGGATTAGACCCATTGTAGTTGAGACGTATTTGGTATAATCATTCGTGTTAGGTGTTGTTCCACTCATTGGGCTGGCCACTGGTGAGGTCTACCGGTAGTTTAGGATCATATGCCAAACTCCAAACGTGATCCCGTTAGGGCGCGCGAGGAGGAGTAGAGTTTCTGGGTTTCCCTTGGGTGATTCCAGGTTGCACGGATTCTACTACATTACACGGGATAGGGCTAGTCAGTGGGGGTCCTATCTTCGCTATCACAGACTATGGGGCGTCTTGTGGTTAATGGCGACAACGTTCGGCTATCCATGTATTGATTGTGGGAGTGGTATGGTGGGTATATGGAAGTGACCGGATGACCGTTGTATTATTATGGATTTATCAGGTCCTTCCTTGAGCCGAGGATTTTCCGGCTATTTATTGATGATGGTCTAGTGAGCTTGTTATTACGGGGCCGAGGGTATTCCGACCGCTCACTTAGACAGATGTAGTGAGCCTATGATTATGGAGCCGAGGTTATTCCGGCTGCTCACTTTGGCGGATATATATATGTGTGAGTGTGCATTGTTGTCGAGTTTGTATCTGTATTGCATCATTTCACTATTGGCATGACATGACACGTATTTTATGATTAACGGGAATTAGACTTTATTTTAAAAAGGTGTGAAATGACATATTTCACGTTAGTTCTTAAAATGGATTTAATTCTGGACTGCTTTTAAGAAAATATTTGTTTCAGGTATGCATGGCACATCCGAGACAGGGGACGTCTCGAGATATAGAAAGATGGGCTGAGTGAGTGAACTTACGTATATTGTATTATATATAAATTTTTAACCGGAAAAACCTCTTGTTAAGGGTTGTGTTTTGTAAATATTTATAAATCAGATTTTGGTATATATATTAATGCGCTTTTATGGTTAATTTAGCCTTAATACTGTATTGTGGGGCCCGAAGTAGGAGGTGACGACCTCATGATGCAGTGTGGCGGTAGCATTTCCAGTATGAGCCAACTGGGGGTGTTACATGCAGTGTCAGCTCATGCACGATTTGATACCCGAGGGCAACTATTTCGTGAAAAATTTTTACGAAACAAAAAATTTGATCAAAGTGTCATGTTTATCGTGTGAGAAGAAAATAGATTGTTTTCAATCTGGTTGCATGCTATATTGGAAGAAGGATATTGACCTTGACCACTATAAGATGTCTATAATATGAATTCTACCATACAATTATTAAAGGCGTATAATAACGTATATGTTTTGGCTTGTAGAAACACATTAAATGGAAAACCAAAATCAATAGACTTGTCTGTGATGTATACAATAAGATGTGTAAAATATACAACAAGTAGTTGTATGAATTCCGCTCCGGCCGCTACGGAAGGGAAAATTTGACCATCTCCGCCTTTGTTATGGAGTTATGAAGTCAGCATTGGACTCCAAAGAAAACTAACGGGATGAAAAACCGATGCCGACGCGGGAGTCCACACATGCGAGTGGATCTCAGCCATTTATGGAGACTTGAATGAAAATTGCAAGTTTATTTATACTCCCTCCATTCTAGCTATCATGTTTACTTTACTGTAGACACGAGAATTTACAAGAGGTATAATTAGTATATAATTAAGAATGTATTAATGAAAATAATTATATATTAATATAAAGATAACTAATTAGTCTAATTCAAAATAAAAAAAAATTATAAATAAAAAATTTAAAATAAGATTAAAGTATATAATTCTTTTCAAAAGAAGAAAGTGACAATACAATTGAGATAGACGAAAATAAAAATATGAACATGGTAAGTGGGACGGAGGGAGTACTAATTAATACCAAAAATTTAAAGTACATCTTTTTATATATGTTTACAAATTATGAATATAAGGTCTCGAGAAATTGAAAACCTACGAATGGGCGCATACAAAGTGCCACGACGGCTGTGAGTATATAGCTCTAAGGCAACTCGTATAAAAGTACGTCAAATAATTTATATTGTATTAATGTTCTATGTTAATATCAACCATTAATAAAATATTTAAAATATTTACCAATTTTACGAGGTACGAAAGCGATTGGGGAAGGAATGTCTCAACTTGGAGATACGAAATATAGCCGTGATGAGAAATTTATTTTCTCGGTCCACCATGATAAAAAGAATATGATTTTTAAGCTCGGGTCACTCCCATCAACTGTACCCCAACATTACGACCAACATTTGTTGGAGTTGAAGGCACACACATAGCGTGTTGAAGGCTAAACCATGAATATTATGGAGCAGCTCAAGAGGCTCAATGCGCATTTGGATAGACGCAATCATGATGGTGATTCGGGTGCGCTACCGATTTATTGACTTTTATGCTTTTGGGATAGTGTTTATATTTTGAATTTGAGGATTGTATTATTGCATACTCTAACTAATGTGTCATGGTATTTGTAACTGTCATATTTTTATATATTATGGGAATTAATATGGTGTTTTAGTTGATTTAATACGAGTGCAAAGTTGAAGGTTGACATTTAGGAGAGTGTATTCAATCTAGACTATGTAAGATTTTGTTGGATTTTTAAAATCTTGGTGTATTCAATCAAAACTTTTAAAAGTCTTTTAAAATTTGGAGGTATTCAAACCAGATTTTTAAAAGTTTTTTAAAATATTGAGGTATTCAATATAGATTTTTAAAAGTCTTTTAAAATCTTGAGATATTCAACAATCGATCAAGTCTAAGGATTTTAATGAAAATTTTGTAGCAACAGAGATTTTGATGAATTCTTAAAATTATTATTATTATTATTATTGTTATTGTTGTTGTGATAAATAATATGATAATATTTATTAATATTATTATAATTTTTATGAAAAATAATAATTTAAAACTAAAATATATTAGCAAATATTATGATTTTTTTTTAAAAAAATGTATATTTTTATATTATAAATATAATTTTAAAAAATATTATTATCATAATAAATATGTATTATTGTCGTCTTTTCTTTTCAATTATCGAATATAATATATTGTCCTTTCAGTGTAATTCTCTTTTTTTCAATTATCGAATACACTATATTATCATTATAGTGAAACATATATTTAAATATTTTTTTTATTGAACCGTTTATTTATTTTTTATTTATATATTTATTTTAATATAATTTCAAAAATCATAAATTATATTTTTTATTTTATTTATATAGGTATTTAATTTTTTATGTAATACAATTATATAAATAATAATAATAACTAATAAAAAGATGTAAAACTAATTTGATATATTGAATGATAATATAATACTAAAATTATAAAATTAAAATTAATAATCTACAATATAGTAATGTTATTATTAATAATTATATATTATTTATTAATATTAAATTTCATTTTATTAATAATTATATATTATATTTATAAAATTTGTGTTGGATATAAATTTATATGATTAATATCTATTTATAAAAAAATTATTTTACTATCCTACAAAATTCATCTAAATCCATAAAGAGTTCAATAAAATATGTAGAAATCCATCTAAATCAATTTACTAAAATCCATCGTAAACTATGCGGATTTTCTAAATCACATAAATTCATAGACTTTTTAAAATAAATAAATCCATTAAAAACCTAATTGAATACACCCCTTAGTTCGTATCCGTATATTATTTGAGACAGGTACTGGTAAATTGAAAAATACAAAAATTTTGGGGTGCATGTTTTTATATAGACGAAATTTGTCATGAAATTGATCCGTGACAAGATAAAACACGATGAACATGATCCATAGTCACTGATCTTGTCGCTAATATTAGAGACGACATTGGCAACGGACTAATTCCGTTGCTAAATAGCCACAATGAAATATTCTGGTTCGAGATTGCGAATTCCATCGCTAATTCCGTCTAAAATTCCATCACGAATATTTGTGATGGACAATAGTCGTTTAAAATTAGCAACACAAAATTCTTAGAAGAAATCTATTATGTTCGTAATCCATTGCTAATCCGCTTATGGGTGAAAAAAGTGTGAAATTTTTTTGTATTAGTTCTCATACATTCATTTTAAAATCATTTAAAAAAAGTAGTCTAGCAGTGATAATAGGATATATAGAGAATTAAAAGAGTTTTTTCTAGTTAATTTGTCGTGATCTCATTTGATCCAAATATTAAAAAAAAAAAAATTTTTTTTTAAAATATTAGACTGAATATGATTGATATTGTTTTCAAAGAAAAAATATAATTATTTATTATTTATTATGCCGTCTTATAAAAATATATAATTTTATCTTATAAAATATTATATTAAAATATTATTTAAATATTATCTTATAAAATATTAAAACCAAAATATATTGAAACTTTTTACTAATAATTCTTATAATGTTATATAAGTTTTTCTTTTGACCAGACATATGTGGTTGAGCATCATTTTCACAACCTTTCAACCATTTATACATCTAACAACAAATATTCTTATATATTTTGCAGATTATTAGGTTCGGATGGGGTTCACCCAGTTCGCACATTCGAATAGCGGCTGCGAGTTCCCACGTTATTAAAAAAAAAAAAAAAAAAAAAAACAAATATTCTTATATATCTACAATGATTCACATTCAATAATAATATGAATCTATTTGGTTATATATTGGAGCACCCATTAGCACTATACTTTTATTTTTTTTAATCACAATGATTTCTTCAATTTCTTTAGCGTAGGACTTATATATAATTTATAACTTTTACATTTCTCCTAAATATTCAAATATATTTATATATATAATTTTTTTATAAATTACTTATGTTAATATGCATAATATATTTGATTTTTTTTATTTGTATTATATAATTTATTTATTTTTTACAAAATTATATTCATATTTAATATTCATTGTACCAGTATATTAGTTATTATTTCAAGAAGGTCCAAAATATTTACAATTTTTCTTCATTATACCATTTAATTTATCCTCTTATATTCTTATAAATACAATTAATATTTTTTTTTTAAAAAAAGGCATAACACTAAAAGAATAAATTGATCAAAAGTATATCACCTAAAAAAGCATGTAAAAAATAAACAATATAGCATCATATTAGGAGTTAGTATATTTCATTGAAATATAAATTTTAGAAATTTCAACAGATATTTAAATTTATTTTTTAATTAAATATAAATATAAATTATATCATAACCAAACCTACAACAAAAGAACATCACTATCTATTAATTTAACATATGTTGAATAATTCTAACATTGACATATAATATAATTTACTTGTAACTTTGACTCTCTATTTACTTGAAGAGTTATTTCAATCATCAATCATTATGATTTTCTATTAAAAAGAATATAAATCATTATTCATATAAAAATTCAAAATTAAAACAACAAAACGAAATCTTCAAATTTTTATATTTCATTTAAGTTGCAATTAAAAATGCCATTATTATCATGATTAGAGCAATGTTACTATTTAGGAATAAAGGGAAGCGGAAAAAAAGAAAGTAAAGCAGGATAATATTCTACACCTTAATTAACAATAAAGGATGGTGGAATATATACATACATATATATATATATTACTTATTATCATTGAAAAATATTTTCGTTTTTTTTTAAATAAAAAATTATTATATTTTTGTACTTTTTTTTACTATAAAAGAAAAAAGTAACAATTATTATTCATTTTTATTAAAATCCGTGCCCGGTCAAATGAGCACATGTTTGCATGACGGATGAAGTATATATATGGTCAGGTTTGTTCTTTTAGTGTTTTTTTCTTTAATATTTTTTAAGTGAAATATTTATATATGTAATATTTTGAATGATAATTGGGATTTGAATATAATATTTCTGATACAAATGCAAAATTGAATAATAATAATAAATAATTCATGTGTCCCAACAGTCCATGTTGAGAGATCAATATACTCTATTCTTTAATAATTTATTTATTTTTTCATTTTGGTTTGTTCCATAACAAAAGTATCTATTTTATTTTCTAGTAACGAGACTGTATACGTAACATTACAAATTTCATTCCAATTTACAATATATTACACAAATGTCATTACATTTATATCATACAATACTAATAACGTTAATTTAGTCTTTTTATCTTCGCTACAAGAAAATATAATTTTGGTAACGAAGTTTTTTCATTCTTAAATTTATTTTCTCTGTTGCTAATAATATTAACGATAGCTACGTAAACTTTAGAAACGAAATTCCGTTACAAATATACTATTTTTTTCGTAGTGTTTTATTTATATTATGTCCCAATATAATACAATATTTCTAAAACTCCGTGCAACAGCAACAGATGGATAAATATGACACAAAGGAAATATATATAAATGCAGGCAAAATAGATGCAACAAATTAAAATTTTAATTTGATCATTGCACATGGATCCTTATACTCAAATTACAAACTATATATCTTTATTGAATTAATTCCCGATGATCCGATCCGATCCTTATAAAATTATAATTAGTGCTACAAAATAAATCTAGTTAATCACATTACATTACATGATGGAGCAAGCAGCATTGGTGTTTTCGTCGCTGAAGAGATATGTAATGGTTTCCTCGGCCGTGGTGGCTGCCTGCGGCTGCGGCTGGACGTTCTTGACGTAGCCGGCGGGGGCCCTTTTGTCGTACGCTTGAGCGAAAGACTGAGGATATTGGACAACATTGTATGGGACATAAGGCCACAACTCGGCCCTCTTGCCCGTGTTCTTCACGCTCTTCAATACCTTGTTGGGGTCGATGCAGCCGGTCACGGTCACTTGGCTTTGCTTGCGGTTAACCTCGATACTCTTCACTCCTATATATATATATATTATGACGACGAGGATCACAATCATTATAAGAAAATAGCATTTTTATAACGAGGTTTTTTTGTCTCTAAATCCACTTTTTTTTGTACTAATGAGATTAGAGATGAAATTAGGGATGAAATTAGAGTAGCTACGGAAATTTTAGGGACAAAATTTCGTTACAAATATATATATATATATTTTTTCTAGTGAATAGTTAATATTGACTCCCCTTTGTCCGCCTCTAAGAGTCACATTTACCTTTTGCGTCATTTTACTTAACCTAAAAAATATTATTATATTTGTATAAATTTTTGTACAAATGTCATTCTATTAGTACGGTAAGACATTAATGAAAATATTTTTGCAATTTTTTTTTCTTAATTTGTATTACGTTTTGATATAATCATTAATATTCAAATATCAACACGCAAAACGTAAATAGAACCCTTAGAGCCGGACGGAGGTAGTACTGTATAGTATATGTTTCAGGTGCATGCATGGATTGATGACCTTTGAGGTTCTTGATGGCGTTCTTGACTCGTCTCTCGCATCCGTCGCAATCCATTTTCACTTTGATCTCCACAGTCTGATATATATATATATATGTGATCATTGAAGAAGGGGATCAGGTGTGTGTATGTATATGTATACATATATATATATATATGTACCTGCATTGATCTCCTTTTGGATTTTGTGGTGGTAGTAGTGAACATGCACAAGCACAAGCTTGACACACACTCCTGCACTGCTCCCATGCCCCCTCTCTCTCTCTCTCTCTCTCTCTCTCTCTCTAGATTAATTTTGAGGCACCAAATTGATTGTGGAAGACAGCTTCTTTGTATTTATACCCTAATGGAAGGCTAGGCTTTAATATGAGGTTACCTCTGCCTTGGAAAACCCTCAAGTGTAGAGAGAGAGAGAGGAGAGAGGAAATACATATTCCTTTTGGTGTGTGTGTGCGTGATTCGGAGAAGAAGAGAATAATTAGACTAAATGTTGGAGATGCATGTAATATATATTGTTGAGTCAAACTAGTCGACTTCTGACTACTTCAATAAGAATCTGCCCACTCAAATCAACTTCATGCTTCTACAATTATAATTGTTACATGAGGTAAATTAATTAATTTTCAATAATATATCTTTTTAATTATTTTAATGTAATTGTTATTACCAGCCAAAAATCAGCTTGATTTTAGAGGAATCCAGGTCGGATTGATAAAATAGCCTATTTCCAGAGTTCAAAACATCAAAAAAATAAATAAATAAATAAAAATAAAAAAATAATCAAAACACCAAGAAGCCCAAGTGAAAAGAGGCTTATATGAAAGCCTAAAGCTTAAGTTTTATAAAGAGAAAGAGAAGACTTTGGAAGGAATCAAGAACAAGAGGTTCAAAAATTCATTTCAAAAGAAAAAAAAAAACTCAAAACAAAAGGATAGAAGAAAGTCACCTAATGGCGGACTATGAAGACAATTGTGATGTTTGACGAAAGTTTCATTGGTGAGGAATAATGGGTAGTTACAAAGTATAAAGGAGGAAGAATTATACATTTGAGTTTATTTTCTACGATGAAATTATAATGTATATATTATTCTAATGAATTATGGGGTGGTTACGGTGTTAATTTTTCAAAATCAGTACACGTAAAAATACATGTTTTTATTAAACAATATGTACTGTTTGTAATAAAAATATGTGTTGTTTGTTTATAATTATTGCGTGTACTGTATAAGAGTATGTCATATTCTAAAATTAACTATAATATGTATTGTGTGAGACTATATTATTACTTCTAGTTCATGTGTTCTATTTGTATTATATTAAAACATATTGTATATTATATGTGGTAATGCTACCTTGTATTGTTTGTTAGCACACAGTATGTTATTCAGCATAATGTTGAATTTTATGTTTAGTATTGTAGCCGCTGCAAATAAAATTTATAATCATATAATAAAATAATTCAATATTTACTTTAATTAATTACTCCCCCGGCCCCAGTTAATTTGTCCACCTTAGCTGGGATACAGAGTTTTAGGTATTGTGTAATTAATAAGTAATTAAGAAATGTATTAGTAAAAATAATTATGAATTAATAAAAATAATTATAAATTAAAATTAAAATGAATAGGTAATTTATTAAAATAAAAATAATTATAAATTAAAAATTTTAAAATGTGATTAAAGTGTATAATTATATTTTAAAAAATAAAGGACAAATTATGTGAGACGAATAAGAAATAAAAAAAGTGGACGGAGGATGTATTATCTAAGATTATTAGTTTTGTCTAAAATATTCTTAATTATATGATAAAACTAATACTTGGTTAACTATTAATAAAGACAAAATAGTCTTTTTAACATTAATACTAACTTGGGAGAGGGATGATATTGTAGTTGAGAGAGATCGAGAGATCGATTGGGTGGGATTGGTGATTAATGAATGTGTTTATTTCAATTTGGTCCAACTTATTTGAAAATAACTTATTTGCAATTTAGTTTGATTGAACCAAATTAAAATTAAAAAAAAAAAAAGAAAAATCTAATTTTTTTTGTAAAATATAATTATAATAATGTCCACGTCATTTATTGCCGACAAATTACATGTCAACACCGGAAAATCTACGTCCACAACGGCATGTCCACGTATAAGCACGTGACCGGCACGTGACTTTTTTTGGCACTAAAGGAAAAAATAAGATTGGCGAAAGACATACAGTCCTATTTTGCGAAAATGAAAAAAAAATGTATAATTTGACCCAAATAAAGAATAATTTTTTTTACAATTTTCGCTAAAAATAAATAGTAAATATAAATATAAATATTAAAACAATTAAGATTTGTTAATTAGAATGAAAAGATGTATTATTGAATTATAATCAATATATAAAGGGTGATCGGCGTGAGTTAGATCTCATGTTGGATACATTCATATTATATATATATATATATATATATATATAGACACATATATATTACTTGTTTTTCTATATTAATTAATAACATTTGTTTGGGTGATTTTATTTTATTTTTAGTATTCAAAAAAAAAAATAAAAATTATCTAAAATATCAAATTACATAAGCATAAGCAAAATTGCATGAAACCCATATCTTGTTTCACAAATTTACGCGCTAAATCTCTTATATTTATAAAACTGTGTCAAATTCTTTCATAATTTTGTAAACTCTACGTTTAACTTCTTCGACTGTTTTTATTTAACGGTGTTTGACTTGTAATTAAAAATATATTTATTCGTCCTATATTTAGTTTCAAGGAATAGTAAATTTATACTCAAAAATAGTTCTTTTCCTCTGATTCTAAATACTTTTTTAATATTTTTGAAGTTAAATATAAAATGAATGAATATATTTGTAATTTCAAAGGTTTAAAAATAGAGATTGAAAATCTCACTTGCAGTTTGTACGCGTAAAAGTCAAACACTGTTAAATAAGGATGACCGAGAGAGTTAGACGCAGAGTTGATGAAAGTATAAGAGTGTTTGACGCAGTTTTAAAAGTATGAGGAATTTGGCGTGATTTCATGAAAGTACAGGTAAATTTTGTGCAATTTTGTCAATCACATACTTGCTTTTTATACTATGTTAATATTAATTTTACGTTCAGAATATTACATCAATTATTTGTTATTGTTGTGTTTTTATACGATCTTTCAAGCAACAAAATCATCAAAATAGCATGTGTCCAACAAAATTGAATGTAAAAGACAATATCACTTTCTGGAAATCAAATTTAAGAACACAAACAAAGTGAACAAAGTAACCAAACACTCCTGGTTGAAGATCATGTACAATTCATCCTCGGACTCGGCGGTAGCGGTTGGCTTCCATTGGCAACGAACAGGCAACAACAACGGCGGCGTCTCCCTCCTCTGGCAGAGAGTTCCAGCGAACTCCGGCAAATTACTCCGCCGATTCTCTTCTTCCGGCGATTTCCAAGCGACTCGACAAACGATAGGGGAAACTATTTTAACGGCTCAGTCTACAACCTAATGACTCACACTTAGGGACTAACCCAACCACCTCCAAACAAAACCCCAAACTAATGGACTCGATCTTAGAACCCTAAACTCTAATCGACCGATTTCCTCCAAAACCTCACAAAGAACACCCAGATGAACAACTTACCGAAGGAATCGAACTAGAACGACTGCAATTTAGGCGAAGAAGAAAACCCTCAAACTTACCGAGAAGAATGGCGATGAAGATGAACCAGAGAGAAAACTGAATCGCGATACACACACTGTCTCTCATGAGAAGGTAAGGGAAAGGGGAGTTATAAGGTGTGGATCGGGTCGGGTCAGAAAACCGGGTCGGGTTAAAGGGTTGCGGGTTGGGCTTGGTATTGGGTTGGGCCAAAAATATCAACATTCTCCACCTTTTTTAGCCAAGTCATTTACCGATGGTTACTCCCGTAGGGAGGCATCACAACCTAGTGACCCTTTTCGCCTAATCAAGTCGCATGGAAATTGCCCGAGAAGATTCACCCATACACAATGAACCTACACTCACAACAAATGTTAAGTAAACCCTGTACTCACAAGCAAACATTAGTCGTGCAGAAACTAATAGCTCATTCAAAAAAGGGACAACTTAACGCAAAAAAGGAGGCAACATGCGAACTCTATCTTAGAACTAATCACAAAGTATATACATGTCATGACACCACAAAGAAAAACATAGCGTACGCTCATACTAAAGGATCATATCACATGCTTGAACAAATAGAAACACAAAGATAAGCATATATCACACCAAGAAATTCGACGTCGATCACAAAGTAGCTAAGAATATAGGTTTGCACACATTATCACAAAGAAAAACAAAATATATCACAATGCCTAAGCAAACACTATCACAAAGCTTAGCAAACTAACATGCTGTTAGACAAACACTTAGATATTCCCGGGAAACTAAAAACCTAGATTATTCACTTAGTTTAGAATACACAACGTACAAAGCACAAAGACAACTAACAAAAAACAAATCACAACAACAAGAGTTGATTTACTTCACCTAGAAAACAAAATCCATGTTATTCACAATTGATATATAAGAAAACAAAAACATACATTCAGACAAGGAACAACAAAATTCAGGAATGATTCTTTTTACACAAAGAAGGGAAAAAAACAGCAATACCGATTTTATTTAAAAAAAAAAAATCTGCACAGACTTTATTAAGTGTGTGTTTGTTTGAGGGATTGGATTTTAAATCCACTATTTATCTCATTTTTCCCCCCAAAAACATCAAATCAAACACCTATTTTTTATTTTTTATATTATACTAAAAATTAATTTTATATTCAAAACATCACATCAACACCTATTTATATCACATTATACAACTATTCAAATTCAAAATTTTTACTATTCAAATCCCAATTCAAAATCCAAACTCCCAAACAAACACACCCTAAAAAAAAAACCTGCACATAATTTTACTTATTACAGGATTTTCAGCATTTGTTTTACAAGAAAACAAGCCAAAATGTCAATTTTTCAAAGAGTTATCCTTTCACAAATATTCACATACTAAAGGCAAGAAAAGAACAATCAAAACTCAATCAATATACATCACCTAAAGGTTCATTACATAAAGCCATATTTGATTAATAATTGGATTCAATTATTTGATTTGTTTTGTTTACTTGACCTTTATTAGCAACACTAGGACACTCTTTAATATAATGGCCTACTCCACCACAACCATAACATTTCCTAGGCAATGATTTATAATTCTTTTCTCTATATTTCTTTTTATTGTTATTCGATGATTGATTATCTCTATTGTTGTTGTTTTGGTTATTCCTATTGAAAACTCCACCTTTTACATGCAAAACTTCGCCACTTGAATTTTTAATTGATTTATTAGCTATTAAGTCTAATTCCTTGCTTTTTAAACTATTTATTACTATATCTA